CAAATCATGCTCAAATCTTATACAATCATTATTAAAATCACATTCGAATCATGTTAAATTAATGCTCGAATAAAGTCCGAACATGGTCCGATCTTACTGGAATATATGGTTTAGATCAATGCGTGTTGTAGCATATTTTAAATAACTACTCCTCAGTCAAAGGGGATATTTTAAGATATATTTCTCTAAAATAACTCAAATTTATTATTTTTACAATGCATTTCATTTTACTCTATATTGATTTTTTAGCAAATCAGGAGGCCGCAAAGAGAAACACGCCTTTTTAGAACTAGAGACCACTTGGAAAATGATGTTTAAGGATTTATCACATGATAATTGTGCATGAAAACATGATAGAAGACATAAGAATCATTGCAGAGATAACTTTTATTCTGTGTGGAGTCTGAACGGAAAATGTATGTCCGGACTGTGAATGTACGCATTGTATATAATTTTTGTACATAGTTTAATTCAAAACTATGTACATATTGTACAATTCCAATCCGGACAGATCTTTTCTATTTGGACTCCGCACTGAATAATTTTTCTCGTTTGTGACTTCTTTTTTACTGCATAAAGTAACTTTTTATACTAAAAAACTCTTTTAAGAAATAATCAGAAGAAAGTAGTCCCAAACGAAAATTAAACTATTTTTTTTTTTTTTGAAAACTAATTAGCTTATCATATAATATATGTCGGTATGTATACTATTCATTTATAAGATTACAAAAATTATTTTTTGATGAGATAGCATCCGAATATTGAGATATATGCATTAATGTTGATTTGCAGCATAATATCAGAATTAAATGAGCTGTCAAATAAATTTGATGTGATTGATTAGGTGGGCGTGTAAAGCATGCAAAATGAGGAGATAAAATGTGGGATCAATCAAAAATCTATATTTGATGGATATAGAATCTAGATTTGTCTTATAATAATAATAATAATTATTATTATTATTTATATGCATATCATCAAAATTATATATTTTTATAAAGTTAACATTTAGTTTAAAAAAAATTAATGATTAAATTCATAAAATTATTGAGAATTTAATAAAAAAAGAAAAATAATACATGCGATTATCTTTTGAAGTTTAGTGCAATAATAGATCTGCATATGATTGATTGTTTGTAGACATAATAAGATCTAGGCATAATCTTGCGCATAATAAGATCTAGGTACAATCTTGCAGATATTGTCATTCAACACTATGCTTCACAAGAATATAATAGATCGAATGGTGTAAACGTTTTAAGCCGAGCCGGAGATATCCTTAGTTTGCGCTTAAACTTGAGTTGATTAATTAATCGATTTAGAGCTTGCGCTCGAGCTTAGCTGCACGAGTTTGAGTTGGCTAAAGAGCAAGCTTATTTATTATGAACGACAAAAAATGAGTCAAATAAAAGTAATTATTATAATAAAATGATTAGAAAATAAAAAAAATTGAAAAGAAAAGTAATAAAAAATCATTTGATATAAGAAATTGAGATGTAAATTTTAAATATTGTGAATAACTTTCTACATAAACTCCTGAATGCTAATCTAATTTAACTATATATAACTTTAATAGCTCGTGAACTAATGAGTCGGATCAAGACTAGCTCAGCTTGACATATCAGCTCATCAAACTCGATTAACGAGTAACTAATCGATTCAAGCTCGAGCCTCCTCACAAGTCAGCTTGATTCATTGATGACATGGCTCCAAAGCAAATTAAGTGTAATTTATAATATAATGATATGCTTTGATTCTTCTACTATGTAGGTACATTAATGTAGTTGGAGATCCATATATTAAAATGCCATCACTAACACTTATTTATTGGTTCCAATGTAGTTGCGAAAATAAGTCTCTTGGACGGTGACAGTGATAATATAAATTATTTATATATTTATGTTGATTGCACAGTACAAAAACTTAGATTTTGCATATTAATTATTTTTAATGGTAAGAATTGTAATGCTGCAAATGACATAATATGAATGCTTTATCCCCTAATCTTCTTAAATTGACTTATTTTAATACGTTTTTTTAATTAATTTAAGGTTTCGTTTGGAACAGTTTTTTAAAAAGTTGCTTTTAAGTTACTTTAAGAAGCAATAAAACATAATCTCTTCATTAAATTTGGCCATCATTATCATAATCGGAGGAGACGTAAGAACCTCCCCAAATCCACAGCTCAATCTCTCATTAGTCTAAAGAAGAAATTTAAGATAAATAGCTGTCATTTTGGACTGTCATTAGTTTAATTTCAGCCAATTTTGAAAATTGAAAAATAATAAAATTTTCAAACAGAATTTTGATAAAATTAAAAATACATTCTTAGAAATAAATAATAATAATATTTTAGAAATAGAATTGTCGTACTGTTCATTAGCATTCGAGAAAAATAAGGAGCAGGTGGCGCTGACTTTGGGCTTGGCCAGCTATGCACGCAGCACATATTGTCAGAAATTGTGAGGTCAACGCTATGGTTAATTAATCTGTATCCACTTACATTGAACAGTCTTGCACGATCTCAATGATCAAACAAATTTGAAAAAAAAAAAAAGAAGAAAGAAAGGGCTGAAAAGAAAGTATTGATTTGGTTAGGAACTCAGCGGATTTGATTCTGGCTTAAGATTGAATTGAAGTTAGTTGACTCAATTTTGAGATAATTAACGATTTTGTTGAGAAAATTATATTGTTTTATAAAGATGGTTATAAAATTAATTTGAGAATTTTCTTAATTCGTTAGTTATGATAAATATTATTTTTGAAAAAAAATATTATAATAGTTTACTTGATAACAAATATGATTATAAAAACTACTTTTTTTTTTTGGGACTAAGATTTCGTTTGGGACGGCTTTCTTATTGTTTATTAAGCGAAGACTGATGGGAGTTGGTGGCCATTGACATCGGAGGTGGGCGATGGTCAGCATTGGTGGTCACGTATCCACTTACATTGAACAGTCTTGCACGATCTCAATGATCAAACAAATTTGAAAAAAAAAAAGAAGAAAGAAAGGACTGAAAAGAAAGTATTGATTTGGTTAGGAACTCTGCGGATTTGATTCTGGCTTAAGATTGAATTGAAGTTAGCTATATTTTTTTATAAAGATGAGTGTAAAGTTATTTTGAGAAATTTTTTAAGTCGTTGAGTATGATAAATATTATTTTTGAAAAAAAAAATATTATAATAGTTTACTTGCTAACAAATATGATTAAAAAATATTTTTTTTTTTGTGACTAAGGCTTCGTTTGGGATGACTTTCTTTTTGCTTCTTAAACCAGCTTTCTAGTACAAATTTTTTTAATATTATACTAAAAAACTGCTTTAAGAAGCAGAAATAATGTCATCCCAAACGATGCCTAAGGCTTTATTTGGGACGGCTTTCTTACTGCTTATTAAGCAATTGTCTAGTAAAAAAATTTTAATTTAGATATTAAAATACGATTTTAAGAAGCGATAAAAAAGTCATCCTAAAGGAAGCCTAAAATGATTGAAATCCAGCCAAAATGTAGGAGCCAAGCAAAAGGGTGGCATGATATTAAAAATAAAATAAAGAAAAAGTTGGCCCAAATAGATTCTAAATCTAGTTGTAGAATCATGCAATTATCTCTTCATCAAGGGTTTATTTGATTAGCTGAAAAAGAAATGCATAATAAAATAAATATAAGGTAAAAAAATGCAGTATATTTGAAATACTTTGACGTTATTTAGATGAGTGTAAAATAAATGCATGTGATTATTTTTTTTATTTTGTTTGAAGTAAAATGAATGTAATGTAAACTTCAAATATGATGGTGGTTAATGATCTGTGGTGAGGCGAAGGTGGCTGACGAAGGCCTAAGATGGGGCGGTGGTGGCAAAGACTGATGGGGGTTGGTGGCTGTTGACGCTTAAGGTGGACAATGGTCAACACTGGTGGCCACAAGTGAATAGCGATGGCAATGGTGGTGGCTTGCGGCGGCAGCCAAAGGTGGAGATGGCCAACAACAATGATGGAAGCTGGCGATTGACGGTGACAATGACAATAATTTTTTTGTATATTTGAAAATCCCCAAAATGAGGAATACCAAATATCCTGCACACCAATTTTACTACAAAACAAACCGTCCATATATTTCAATATCTTAAGATAATTTTTTTGGTTTCAAATATAAACATTTATGCATAAATAATTTTTTATTTGCAATGAGTTCACGCATTTAACCACATCACATGCATTTTGATCTGATCTGATCAAGGCATTACTCAATACAAGTTGTTTTGTCAGTCAAAATATTCGAGCTCAATCCCCGTCAAAAGCTAAAACAGGAAGAGAGAGAGAGAGATGCTGAAATCCATCAAATAAATAGTTTAATATATTAAAATATTAAAATTGTTTTGCACTGTTACGAAATTGAAATCCTCCAATATTAAATTTATACTCAGAAAAAAAAAATTCATATAAATTGTCCAATGTTGGCCTCTTCACAACTTCTCATCAACCAATTCAAAAGAAATCCCGCGTGCCAACAGCCAGTCAGAATAAGCACAATTTAAATGTGACGCATGCAATCCCTGTTTGTATGGACAAAATCTCTTAAATCCCAACTACTGGAATCCACCAAGATATCATTCTAGAATCCCAACAAAATTAAGGTCAACTCATTCGCTAATAAATTCAAATTTATTTTTTTTGAGTCAAATAAGATTTAGATTTCATTTGAGATAACTTTCTTACTGCTTTTTTCGTACAAAAAAACTGCTTTAAGAAGCAATATAAAAACCGTCTCAAACGAAGCCTTATATCGAACTAAATTACTTAATTAACAACTGGTTTATAGATGAAATCAATCTCAGTTCAAAATAACTCAAATTTAGGCTTTCATAATCCAACGATATGAATCATTTTCTCTATTATGTTCACATAATGGACGAAAAATTATGAATTTATTTGATGAATACAAAAGCTTGCGTGATGAAAGCTAAGATTTTGTTTATGGAACATATTAGACACACACAGAGACCAAAAATCAGGTCATTTACCAATAGTAAATCAAATCTACAATATTTGATACATTTACAATAACATAACTCACCAGTTAATAAGACTTGGTGCGCTCAAATAGGGGCAGACAGCGAATGAGCAGAGAAAACTAATAGAGCACAACAATAACAACGCAGAGAATTATGCCCTTCGCAGGTCACAACAAGGAAGCCCTCATGGCTAAGGAAGACAAAAGATTCCAAAAATCCCACCTCACATGGGCTTCACAAAATGATACACCATGGCCCTCATCATAGGGTAGGTACCATACTCATAGCTCTTGACTTGCAGACACAAGGACAGTAATTTAGGTTTTGTTTGAGGCGGCTGTTTTACTACTTCATAAAGCGGCTTTATAGTACAAAAACTATTTTAAGAACAGTAAGAAAGCCGTCCCAAACAAAACCTTAATGTTTACCGAGCTGCTAATTGCAAAGAATTCTGGTTATTGTAGCAGAGGATCTAGCTTCACTTTCAAGTTGTGGTGGCTGTCCCTGCTCTGGGAGTAAGCCTCCAACATTTTCAGACTTTACGCTTTATGCTGCTGTTGCTCCTGCTGCTTATTCTGATACATCCCCCTCCCACTTTTTGAAGATATCCTCCAATATCTCCAGCCTCTCTCTCTCTCTCTCTCTATCTATCTCTCTCTCTCTCCACTCCTCAGGACACCAAAGCCCAGGCCCCCACCCATATTCAAACCTGGAGGCGGCTAGGTGGAAGACCCACTTCGCATCCCAAGTGGTCCACCCATGGCTTTCATTTGTCCATCAGGCCCAGCCAGCAAATTGTGAGGAGAACTGAATATATTACGTCGGTGTAGAAGTACAAGTGCTTGACGCTCATCCAAAGATGTTAACTTTTTTGGTGAAAAATGAGTCTCTCTCTAATTCGGTGTTTGAGTGCCTAACTTTAGTCCTCTTGCAGAGAGAGAATCACTGCAGAAGCAGCTCCGATCAAGACATATTTGTGATCTAGATCAGGTTGAAGTTCTAGAATGTTAGCTCTGGGTAGGAGCTTGTAAAGTGTTAGAAGGATACACGTGAGAGGCAATTCTCTCTCATATATCATTTTGCATTTAAAAAAATGTTAGTGAAGGCAATTTAAAAAGAAAATCCTTAATGCACACACAACTTACCAAACAAGTGGGTCGGTCTTCTGTGGATTCCTCTCACGTTACATAGCTAGTTGACCGGGTAACCAGGCCTCAACCCCCTCCTACCCCTTTAAAATCTCCCTCCATCCCTCTTCAAACCAAACCCAACCTCTCCAACTCCTCCTTCCTTCTCAACACTCTTTGCTAAGAGGACCACCATGAAAGCATCTCCAATCCCACAGCTACTCATGGCCCTGCTGCTTGCAAGTATCAACAGCAGAAAGTCAGACCCTGATGCTCCGATCACGGCCTCCTTCCGGAGCATGGCCATCGATGGGCAATTCACCACCCATGATGTGTCGAATGCCGCCATGGACTTCGGAAACCGATACCACTTCCTTCCTTCGGCGGTTCTTCACCCAGGATCAGTTGCAGATATTGCTGCAACTGTGAGGCATGTGTTCCAGCTTGGCCCGAGCTCCAGGCTCACCATTGCTGCTCGTGGCCATGCGCACTCACTCCAAGGCCAGGCTCAGGCCCCTGGTGGCATTGTTGTGCGCATGGAATCCCTGGGAAGGGCTAAAAACATGCATGTGCATGCAGGAGAAAGCCCATATGTCGAAGCTCCTGGTGGAGAGCTATGGATTGACGTTCTGAAGGAGACTCTAAGGCACGGGCTAGCGCCAACGTCATGGACTGATTACCTCCATCTCACCATTGGAGGCACTCTATCAAATGCTGGGATTAGTGGTCAGGCCTTCCGGCAAGGCCCCCAGATCAGTAATGTCCACCAGCTTGAGGTAATCACAGGGAAAGGAGAAGTTATCAATTGCTCTTCAACCAAGAATGTTGAGCTCTTCCATAGTGTTCTTGGAGGTCTTGGCCAATTTGGTATCATCACCCGAGCTAGGATTGCATTAGAGCCAGCGCCAAAGATGGTAAACATAAGGGAACTTCTATACTAATTTCTACAAACTCAACATTGCGTCTAACGAGCTGCAACAATTTACCCTTGCAGGTGAGATGGATTAGAGTTCTCTACTCGGACTTCACCAGCTTCACAGAGGATCAAGAGAAGCTCATCTCAGCAGAAAAGACTTTTGACTACATTGAAGGTTTTGTGATCATAAACCGGACAGGGATTCTCAACAACTGGAGATCATCCTTCAATCCACAGGACCCAGTGCAGGCCAGCCATTTCAACTCTGAAGGGAAAACTCTTTTCTGCCTCGAGATGACAAAGAACTTTGACCCTGAATATCCTGAGATAATGATGCAGGCAAGTGTAAACCATGCTTTAAATTCATGAATGAAGATTGAAGAAAACTCTGCTTTCTATATCCAACAGAGTGTTTCCTGATTGCAGGAAGTTGAGGAGCTCCTATCACAACTTCGATATATTCCGTCCACACTCTTCCAATCGGAAGTCTCATTCCTAGAGTTCCTTGACAGAGTGCATGTATCTGAAGTGATGCTGCGATCGAAAGGTTTGTGGGAAATTCCACACCCATGGCTTAATCTTCTAGTACCCAGAACTGGAATCCATGCCTTCGCAAATGAGGTTTTTGGAAAGATCCTCACAGACAGCAGCAATGGTCCAATACTGCTATACCCATTGAACAAATCCAAGTATACTCTTCCTCCTAAATGCCACAGCCTATACTGCATGAGACCATGAACATCTAGAGCTTATTGTTTCTTTTTTCTTATTTTTTTTTTATTTTTTAAGGTGGGATAACAGAACATCAGCAATTATTCCTAATGAAGAAGTGTTCTACTTGGTGGCTTTCCTTTCATCTGCACCATGCTCTTCAGGTCAAGACAGCTTAGCGAAAGCACTCAAACAGCAGGAAAGGATCTTAGAATTCTGCAAGAAGGCTAACATCCAAATGAAGCAATACTTGCCACATTACACAACACAAGAAGAATGGAAGTTCCACTTCGGGCCGAGATGGGAAGAGTTTAAACACAAGAAACAGGCTTATGATCCTCTGGCAATTCTTGCACCGGGACACAGGATTTTTCAGAAGGCAGTAGCTTCCTTATGACAGCTGACTTCCCCATATAAGACATATTTGTAAAAAAGAATAGCCATAGAAATAATTTTTCATATTTTTGTAACACTTTACAAGCCTGCAGCTAAAAGTAGTTTGGCTGCTTCCTATAAAAGTAAAGGAAAGAGTATGGCAACAATCCAAAACTGATCCTGGATGAGAATATGTCCAGCTGCAAGGAAGACAAGCAAGGAAAAAAAAACAGAAGAAAACAATATCATAACCAGAAATCTTTTTCACTAGGATGCAAGGAAAATGACTCGTGGTGGGAAAAAAAACAGGAGTTAGGCATCAACATCAGGATGGAGAAAAAAGACGAAGATGTCTCAGATCAATGTACATATGGCTTTCAAACAAGATTAGAGAAATCCCAAATACAAACAGCGTCACTTGCATGCACATGCAAAATTCTAAAGAACGCCAGATGGTATTGCCTGTGGAGTACCCCACAGACAAGAGGTAGGCTTGGCATGCTAAGATTTAGTCCTATCAACAGTGCCTGCTTAGATTCAAAAGATCAAATGTGTGCATTACTCAAGCCTAGAGGAGTGAAACCAGACACATAAGGAAGCTGTAAAGTATTTTTCCTAAGTTTCTCGTATGTGATTAACACAGCATATCATCATAATTAACTGTATGGCAAACAGTAACTGTTGCTAAGAACGTCATCAGACCATGAAAAAAACTTAGTGCAGCTATCAAAAGCGTAAGGATGTATTTTTTCCTGTAAACCTGTGGGTAAAATAGATAGTTTCTGAAAAGACTGAAAATCAGATGAACTTTCTTTCTTTTTTCTTTTGTTTTTATTGAGGGAGGGGTTGTATTGAATGGATATTCCAGCCTTTCAGAGATTTGATCGACCAACAAGCAGCAATGATATTCTTTCATTCTTTTTTCTATGAAAAATTAGCCAAACTCAAGGAGGACTAAGGAGCAACTACGTTAAAAACATAACTAAAATAAAATAAAATCTTATGAATGAAAGATATAGCATAACGCATGCCTCCTATTACTGGAGTCATAATTACAGAATTGTCATTTGACGGATATATTGATTGTAGAAAATATCAGGAAAAATGAGCAACTAAAACATAGACAAGCAAATGATATTTTTGAAACCCTTTTCTCATCAAAAAGAAAATATATGACGAACCAAAAAAGGAAGTCGGATTGTTGAAAATTTCACATTAAATTTCCATACGCCTACACTAGATTGCACAAAATAAGAGTTAATGTTAGTTCATGTACATCAAATTCGGTAATAGCTCAGGCAGAATTTTGCAGGAAACCCACTCAGGGTGCCTGAAATTCCATGAAAAAAGTGTAGACTTATCTAAAATTTGTATGAGAAAAGAAAATCTCGATCCTTACCTTAGTTTATAATAGATTGGAAATTACACTCCCATTATTTTCCTTCCATACCAAATTAATGAATAGGCTCTATCTTGTTCCTTGTTTTCCCTTACAAAAAATTAATAAGTCTCTAGAAGACATCAAATTGTTGAAAAATACTGAACAGCACATGATATTAGGTGTCAATAAAGTAAATCATTGATGAGCTTAGATGGTTGGCAAAACAACGAGAAAACCCAAATGCAACTCCGTTTAACGACCATAGGCAGCCAGTGTTCAAAGATGCAATCCTTAAGCACATTTGTTCATATTAACGAATCATTATGATCATTAGTTTATCCAAATAATTTAAGGTATGCTTTATAAGTCTTTTTTTTTTATTCATGCTAATTGTTATACGAGAAGTCGAATCTATTCTTCACAAGTTATTTTGAATAGTTTCTATGTATCTATATATATTTTCATTATTTTGCCATCCTTTATTGTACATATACAAACTAATTAAGTCTATTTTTAATTATATTATGTTTAATATAACTCTGCCTATTCCTTTAATATAATCATTCATTAATTTATCTATCCTAGTTTTATCAAACATCCATCTTAACATTCTCATTTTAGCTACACTTAACATAGCTATCAACATTTTTTCAATTGCCAAACAATTAAATCCACATAATCGTTAACCTAATTGCAATTTTAGAAATTAACCTTTTAAGTCTATGTCGGGTAGGTCTCCTATAGAAGCTATACATTTATTGAGAGGTTTGATAGAGAAGTTTAGAGAGATTAAGGAGGATCAACATATGATATTTATTGATTTAGAGAAAACATATGAGAAAGTTCCAAGAGAAGTGCTTTGGAGAGTTCTAGAAAAGAAAGTGGTTAATAATGCTTATAATCAAGTCATTAAGCATACTCATGCATGAGCTATTACTTGTGTTCAAACATAGATGGTTTGACAAAGTATTTTTCTATTTCGGTTGGATTACATCAAGGATCAGACTTAAGCCCGTCTTTTTCTTTTTTAGTCATGGATATTCTTGCAAGACATTTGCAAGAGGATGTACCCCAGTCTATGCTATTTATTCATGATATTCTTCTTGTGGATAAGACAAGAAAGGGAGTTGAAGGTAAGTTTGAATTATGGAAGTCAACCTTAGAGTCTAAAGATTTTCGTTTGAGTAGATCATAAACTGAATACCTTGAGTGTAATTTTAGCAGTAATAAATCTAGTAGGGGATTGTGACTTTGCGCGATCAAGTCATTAATAAGAGTACACATTTTATATATCTCGGGTCGATTGTTTAAAGTGATGGTGAAATAGATAGGGATATTATTAGTAGAATTCAAGTTAGATGGTTGAAGTAGAGGAATGCATTGGGCCTATTGTGTGATAGAAAAGTACCCCTCAAACTTAAGGGGAAATTCTATAAGATGCTAGTGAGACCTGCAATGCTTTATGGAGGAGAATGTTGGCCATTAAAAGAAAATAAAAAAATTAAGTTGTGTTGCAGAGATAAGGTTGCTCAGGTGGATGAGTGACCTTACTCTTAGAGACAGAATGTGAAATGAGTATATACATGAAAAGGTTAGAGTAGCTCTAATGGCAGATAAGATTAGAGAGAGAATCGCCTTAGACGGTTTGGTCACATAAAACATCAGCCTTCTGATGACCTAGTTAAGAGAGTAGATATATTAGATTTGGCTTATGTTAAGAAAGGTAGAGGTAGACCGAAAAAGACTTAGTTAGAAATATTATAAATAACATTTTTATTAGATTTAAATGAGAATTTGATTCTTAATAGGACACAATGAAGAAAAAAGATTCATGTAGCCGACCCCACGTAGTGGGATAAAGGCTTGATGTTGTTATTGAACCTTTTAACTCTATGATATCCTCTTATCAAATAATAGTTCTAAGGCACTTCATTTTAACCACCTAGTTTTAATTTATAAATTATATCCTCATCTATATTATTACCCTTCTATTAGTCAATCCAAGACATTTTAAATCTTTCTCACGCAAGCATCATGATATATTTTAATAAAATTGGTTGATAATTATCATAATCACATCAACAAAATTGCATATATATTATATTTTTGTTCTACTAATTCTAAGCTATTTATATTCAAAGCATTTACTTTAGTGCTTTCACTTTCCATTTATTTCAGTAAATGTCTCATTGATTAGAACTATTGTCCATTAAAATTATACACTAAGGCACCATATTCTGAATATACATACAGCATCTCCATAATAAATATAAAAATATATGAAGTAAACATTGATCCATGATATAATCTTACTCAAATTAAAAATCTATGATTACTTCAACATTACCTATTATACTAATCAATGTGTAATCATCCACGTGTATTCAATCCATAACATGTGCCAAGAAATCATTGATTGTCCACATGATAGTGAATCAGTGACTCACTTGAAATTATAATTTCTTGTGTTTATCATATAAATAAACATTCTTAATTTTTTTTCCATAATTGCTTCGACTCATCAATCAATAGTCATAAAAATACATTCAAGTTTCTTTGAATTTTTGGTCCAAAAACGAGTAATGAAATGTAGATAAAAGAATGTTTCACGCTAAGATGATAAGTTTGACATAACAATGAGAATTGGCCAATATGTGCATGGAGTACTTGATTGTCCAAAAAGATTAAATTCATCTGTACATATCCCTAGTTATACATTACGCACTTTTGATAAAATGATGGATAAATACAAGGGAAGTGCATTCATGATCCATCATCGGGAGTATATGCCAACATTCTATCAAGATTTTTTGTTGCTAGCATGCCAAATCATATACTTTATATCCTCATTAACATATACAAACATTGAAGCCTTGAAATTAATGTCAACTACTGAAGCACCTTGCAAGACATTGTTTGAAGTCTTGGAATTAATGTCAAGTACTGAAGCATCATATAAGACATTCTTTGTGTCGACAACCTAAAACCTTTTTGGCTTATATCAAGGGTGTCCATACATTATAAATTCTGATAAATTAAATCTTATCTTTATAGATTAGCATACAATTATTTTTACAAGAATAAAATTTTTCAACATTGAGAATAAGCTTCTTCGTCATTCTTTTAATTTGATGCATGACACCATTGACTTAATAATAATAAATAGTGCTTGTGACAAATATTTGATACATTAAATTAATATTTATAATTCAACAACTGAGGAAATGTTGATAACTTTAAATATTGCTTGCACCTGTACCATAGAGAATTACTAGCATTTACTATGAAGGCAAAATTTGCAATAAGTGCATTTGATGCTTTTTCGATTTTAGACATACATGTTAACTGAATCGATTGTATGGAAGCATCTACTACCATATGAATGTAAGGTTCGAGCTCAAAAACTTTCAGTGGCATCAACGTCATGCAATTTCTCCTGCTTGATGACTCACATTGGGCTTAAGTGAGTGAAAGCATAACAAATAAATGAGCTTTGGTGAAACCTTTTAATAGAGATGAATAAAAACATTGTCACAAGCATTGAAACACTTATAAATACATTTCAAACAAAGGCATTTAATCATATTTGAAGAATGCAAAATTGAGAAATTGATTTATAACAATAATAAACTAATATGTTGGGTGACTTTTTCTGTAAGACCAGTGATATATCCATTAAAGATCACTGGTCATATCTTCAATGAAGAATAAGATTAATTATCAAAGTGTGAAGAATTCTTATCTCATTGATCTTATCTACATCCAAACGTTTCACAAAACCTAGTGAATGACAATTACCCTCAAACAATTGTCATCCTATCCTCTTCAAGCTCCTCTATCATTCTCTCCCACTCAAACACAATATTGGTTATTTAAAATATATCTTCCAAAGGGTATTCCACAGGGAAAGTGACACTTTTCCCTATATTTATATAAAACTTTTGCTTAGATAGTAGATGAGTCATACATTTTTCTCATTATAAGTCTATTTCAAATTTCAAAACACAATTAGTATTTTACTATTTTAATCAAACCAATATCAATATTCATGAGGAAACTAGATTCGTATTAGTAAAGAGAAAATGACCAAAATGGTTCCTCAACTCTTTGTGAGGGGCCAAAATGGCCCCAAACTCTTATTTAAAATGTGACATTTTTTGTCATAACATCCAATATTAGAGTTAATGGTGTTAAATGAAAGGGTATTGGTTATTTTTTATTAAACATTTATTAAATGTAGTTTTCAAGTATCTATAATATTTCTAAAAAAATTATTAAGCTTTTCTTTAATAAAAACAATTAATAATAATTTTAGTTTTAATTTAAAAAATTTAATCATATTTTATAAAATATGATTAATAAAAATATGTGACTAAGTTAAAAATAATATCTATTTGCATTTGATTTTTCTAAATCAATG